GGGTAGTACTGGGAACACTGGCCTCACTTTACATGTTTGCAGATTTCCTTGACGTTCCACTTATATGTAGTGGGAAGAGTGGTATTGTTTTGTTGTTTTGTAAATTTGCTTAATGTTTGGCTTTATAGAAATGGCTGGCTTCCCATATTTGCTTTTGCATTCCATCTGTTGCAGAATGCTCTTTTGATTAAAGTGCATGAAGAAAAACCAGCTTTACTTAGATAAGTAATTAGTAAAATGGAGACGAGTATATTTTAACCTTTTCAGAGGATTGTACCTATTTTTGTCTTCATTGCATTACAATCTAGTGCATGAAGAAAAACCAGCTTTACTTAGATAAGTAATTAGTAAAATGGAGACGAGTATATTTTAACCTTTTCAGAGAATTGTACCTATTTTTGTCTTCATTGCATTACAATCTATTGGGCTACCTTGAATGGATTTTTTTTTTCCCATGCACGATTTTTGTAATATCATATACCAAACATTAGAAAAATATTGATCCACTGAGCTATGTGCATCTTCTAAATTTTAATATAGTTTATTACACAGAATTAAAAACAAATCACATTTCTTAATATCAACCACTAATCTTGTCAGAAAATGTCTGCCAAATGCTGTCCCAAAGTGTAACATTCCTGTGATACCTTTTGTAAGCCAAAATGGCATAAAATGAAGAAACAACTACCATTAATATTCATATGAAAAATTTTTGGAGAGCTTCTAAACCAGAATTACAACTCTTAGGCCTCTCTGATAGCTTAGTACACATCTTGCTACTGATCCACAGAATAAATCTAGATAAAGCACAGATGTTCACACACAGTTCAAAGCTATGACAGCTTGATGATGAGAGGCTAAGTATAGTTCCCAGGGAAGGTGCTTGGTAGCACTTTTTGCTGCTCTAGATTTGTGCTGCCTCTAAAATTGCTTGCTACAAAACACACTGAACTTTATGTTCACTTTTTGCCTTTTTCCATAGAAGTAAGAATCCCTTTTTGGTTAGCAAAAGCAGATACTACAAATGTAGGTCTTTCATAAAAGCTAAGTGGCATAATACACCTTTAGAAAAACAAGGGGTACCTGTACACAAGTCAGTAATCATAGTTTGTCAGATGCTGTCTTACTCAGTTTACAACCCAATCGTATGAATGTTTTTCTTGAAGAACCACCCTATTTCAGAAAAGAGCAGAAGTGATTTATGTATATATCCTGTTTTGCATAGATTATTAAAAAGACATGTAGGGATTCAATAAAAATAATTCTAACTGCTTCATCTACATATTCTAGTTGAAATTTTAAAATTAGTTGTTTGGGCAGGCAAACTCTCCTCTGCTGTCCTGCCCACTGCTCCCTTGCAACAATGATAGTTACTAGTAAAAATTGAATATAAGTGCCTTAATTTTTGCTAAAATACCAAGATTTTGCCTCCCAATTGCTTGTACACCATTCCTAAATATGTTGATAGACTGAAAAGCCCAATTAGATCATAGTTTTATAATTGTGTTCTAATGTTTAGTAAGACATGAAACAGTTTTGAATTTGTGCACTTCCCAAAAGGGTCTTGTGGACTCAGTACTCTGCCAGCCACACTCTGAGAGCCATTGTTTTAATGAATGCTGCTTTGATAATGTGGTTCTGGAAATCAGTCATACTTTGCTTGCTTTTTTGGTCAGCTGTGAATTTAAGCATACTTCAGTGACAAGCTCAGGAATACATATATATAATTCTTTTAATGGAAAGGCACAACTTGTGAATAAAAATAACTAAAAACCTTGCCTTTTGTTAGGTTTTGTTTGAATCCTTGAAAAAAAATGAAGGTGTTTTGTGAAGGTAGAAACTTAAATGAACACTATTTTGGCAGAATTTTTATGTCAGTTCAACCTTGAGTAAGTTATTTAACAGTGCTGTACCTCAGTTTTATGATCTCTAAAATAGGGTAACAGAAGACCTCTACTTTATAGAGTTGCTGTGAAGAATAATTGAATTAATTGAATTATTTAAACCAAGTTTTCAGTTTTAATCATAGCTTTATTATCTTATTGCAGTGTAGTCTTTATCAAGATTTTGTTTACATGTAAGTTCATGTCAAATCGTGACTCTTAATTTTTGGTAAAGTAGTAAAGCATTAAAATTCGTATTCGAAAAATACCATGTATTTTATGCACCAGTTCTAATTTCAGATATTAGAATTCATAGAAGTGAGGGTCTTGTGTAATGCCGTGTATTGCTTTTTGGGTGGGTACACAGTTAATAGTGAACTTTCTCCTTACCGTTTCTCCTGATACTTGATAAATAAAGTTAAATGAGAAGTACTGTCTTAATTTTCATTGCTAACCAGTACCTTTAAATATAATCTCTGACCTTTGCATTTTATTAGAAGTATGTAGCAGTGGATTTTTAGAAAATGACAGTAATCTTTTTTTTTTTAATTTCTTTTCAGTGTAACAGTATTCATTGTTCTTGCGAAAATGACAGTAATCTTAAGATACGACTTGAAAGTTGAAAACTTCTTTTGCTCCTTCTAAAATAGTTAAAAAATGATCTATCATCTAATTATACTGTCTCTTTTTCTTAATCTTAATGTGTGAAGCTATATAAAACAGTACTCAGTAATTTTCTTTAAGGAAACATCAGTATTAAAGAAATGGAGTGTATACGTATCTAATGAAAAATGCTGTATTATATGTATTTTAATGCAGTGATATGCTACATTAGCATGGATTTTGTAAGACCTTCTGATTATTTCATTTAAAGACATTTTAGAACTGGAAAACCAGTTGTTTCTTTTTTTAAGATTTTTATTTTTAAGTGATTTCTACATTCAACGTGGGGCTCAAACCCACAACCCTGAGACGCAAGAGATGCATGCTCTTCTGATGGAGCTAGTCGGATGTAATGGTCACTGTTGAATAGTTGATTTAAAAAACCTAAGTCTTGCGGTGTCTGACTGGCTCAGTCAGTAGAGCATGTGACTTTTGATCTTGGGGTCGTAAGTTAGAGCTCCATGCTGGGTGTAGAGATTACTTAATAAATAAAAGCTTTTTAAAAATCCATAAATGTATTTGGCATATTAATCTCTTCAGAATTCTATTAATGAAGAAAATAGAATAATAGAACAGTTTCTTTTTCAAAGTACTGAACTTTGTGAATAATAAAGCTAAACATTGTTATTCTGGAAAATTGTAGGTGCAGATGAAATTATCAGGAGATAATAAAAATATTATCTCCCTTTTTATTCCCACCAGTGAATCCCAGGCATCCAGTTAGGATGTCAGAATATTTAAGGGATTTGAAAATTGAAGTCTCAATTGAAAATTGAAGTCTCAAACAATAAGATTATCATAATTATTCTTTGTTAGGGGTTAGATATTGTATCCTTCATCTTTCATTGTTAAGGCAAATCCAAAACTAAAAGTTAAACCCTTGTTCACCAAAGATGTCTTGGTCAAAAAATCGTGTATTTTATTGTGGTGCTGAAATGGAACCAGCTTTTCCATAACAAGTATCTGCTATAAATAATACCTGGAAGGTTTTGGACATGCTGAAGCAGTTTGCGTTTTATCAGGTTCTGGTGATGAGGAAATGACAGCTTGGTTTGATTTATTGATGATAGTGTTAAGTTTGATGATAAAATAGTATTTTCCATATGACTTTATCAGAAATCCATCCTATGAAATAGTCTAGTTGTTTTTCTCGTTAGTATCCATCACTAACCAAACGTTTTATGAAAAGAGATAAATTTTGGTTTTAGGAAAGTTTAAAAAAATAGCTTTGAGAAAATTTGGGATTTATGTTTTCTACATAATTGACAAACATTTCTTCCTGATGCTATGTAAGTGATTTATTTTTTTTTAACCGCAGCTTTATTAAAGGTTACATTTTGAGGCATGCCCATTAGCTTAGATATGGGCAGTAGATCTGGGTTTATCTACATATACCATAGGCTTTTACTTCCTCTTTTTCCTAGTGTTTTACACTGGTATTTTGTATTCTTAAAGAATTTTAAGCACATTTTAATAAAATTCCTTTCAAAAGAAAAACACCTTTTTAAGATTTAGACATTTCTACTTTGTCTCAAAATGTGTTTTATGATTGCTACGTTTAACACACCAGTCTGATAATGGAAAAGATCATAAAATAATAGTACAAGTTTGAATTACAGAATGTAATTACAGAATTTCACCTAGAGATTTCATTGAAGTTAATTCTGTATAACTGCTGTTAATAAATGAGTTTTTAGAAGGAGTTGAATTTTACTGAAATTTAAAAGTTTGTCATTTGCATGACCTTTTGTATCACAGTTAACCTTAAGAGCATTTTGTTTCAGAACTTGCTGACTGTGTAATAACACTGCTATTTAGATTTCCAAGTAAAACCCTTGTTCAAATAAAGGAAGCAGTGTTACGTTGAACTTTTAATAATCGTGTGTTGTGGAGACTTTTCATGGCAAATCTTTAGGTCCTGGGTGAAAAACAGTGCTCAAATATTTGAGTAAAAATGCAAAGGTGTATTAACAATGAAAATTGTCTATATAACTTTATTTTTGGCTTAGTACCCCATAGCTGTTTGTTTTGGATGTTTGAATAGATTTGAATATAAAAGGGGTAGTGGTCATTTTTGTTTTAAGACAAAATTTCCTCGGGGAAGGAAAAATATAATTGGCCCTGGTGGTTATTAATAATAAATTTTTCTTTTTTTGGAGTCTACGCATATGTCTTTGCTCTATTGAACATTAAAAACATTCTGTGGTATATTTTATGTAATTTGACACATTGATAATCTAGTAGTATAAACTGAGTGCTCTAAGCACTGTGGCATATCAGACCTGGAAGACTGAAGTTTCTTTTCAGTGTTCTTATTATGTAAGTCATGTTGGAAAATTTTAATTTTTTAATGGAAAGTGATGTCCCAATTTATTCTTTTCTTTTTAATTTTAGATGGGAAATGTAAAGTCATAAGATCGATAGGTTGACTGTGACAACTATGCTTACTTACAGAGAGAACAGGAAATGAGAATGGGTGATATGGGTCCCCGTGGAGCAATAAACATGGGAGGTAGGGATTTGAAGCAAAAGCCTTCTGTAACTTGTAATTCTTTGGGGAATTGTACATGCTGTTTGTGGTATCTACGTATCAGTAACAAACTAAAATTTGGAACCAACACTTGTAATGGTGAAATTTCTTATATTAAGTTGAAAAAAATACAAGTATATTAAAAATAATATGCTAAGGAAGAATTTTGTTTCATTGAAGGCTAAAAGGTAAATTATGTTTTAATAGACTTAATGAAAGGAACCTGTAGCCAGGTTTTGATAAAACCTGAAACCTGTTCAGTCATTCCATGGTGTAATGTATCTATGTTGCATTTTTAAAAAATCAAATTTCATGCTTTCAAATTGGCTCTTTTTACCTTTCTTAGAAATTTGATAGTTTCTGAATTTGTAGGGGTTTTAAACTTCTTGAGTATTTTATAAATTTTTATTGGTAAGGTAACGTTTTGTGTAATTTTTTTTATTTATTTTACTGAATGTTTAGCTTATTTTGCCCTCACCTACCATATTGTGCACAAAAGTGCACTGTTCAGAGGCATCTATGACATGTCAAGAAAATTAGATATGTCTTATGCATCTGGGCTAATGCATATCTTTAGAGTTTATGTAAAGCTTTGAAGAAAGTACCTACATTAGCTTCTCCACTATTGAGGGAAGCAGTAAATTTGAAATGTCATACACTTAAAAATTAGATAAATTTTTAAAATATTTGTTTCATATTGTCCCACAGAAGCTGTCACAAAATTGAAATCTTTACATAACTCAAAGTGTACCTATGGTAGAGATTACATTACCATTAGCATGTAGTACTTAGGATATATAGTGTATGGAGTAAAAAAAAAATTAATATGTGGGATGAACATTTTCTGGGATCTACCTTTTTTCCTCCGATTTTTCATGCAGTTTATTTGCTACTTCCAATCAGATCGTCTGAAATTGTTTATTGCTATTTATTTTGTCATTTTTCTTACCTACCAGTAAGAAGTTACTAAGCATTTCTGGTATACAAAGGAAGCATGATACATGACCCTTACCTGTAAAGATCTTAATTTGAAATTAGTTATGGATACATAAATTAATTGGTGAACAAAGAATACACAAGTTCTGTAGGCACAGTTGTAGGACATAAGTTATAGAGACACAGTTGAATATATGGTAATATACAAGTACTTCAGTTTTATTATGTCTTTTAAAAGTAAGTTGTAGAATAGTATATAATACAGATGGTTTATTTAAGTGTTATAAATGTGAGGTTATGGATTGTAGGTACTTTGAAATGCCATTATAATTATTAGATTGTCATTAACATTAGAAGCAGATGAAATATTTCTGATTTTGCCAAGACCTTGGAAACATTCTAATTGTCTTTTAGTTAACAACTTTATCAGAAGAATAATGAGAGTATACCTTTAGATTTCTTAGTTAGGAATTTAAGAGAACTAAAATTTTTTATGGCATTTTATTTCATCAGAGAACCATATTACAATTGAGCACTTTCTCAACTCTCCTTAAGTCCAGTCCATTTAATTTTGTCCAATATACATTTTATTCAATCCGAGACCTTGTCCTGATGGCTTACTAGAGTTATGAATCATTATCATGCAGTTGAATGCCACTGTTGAATCAGTAAATTGTCATATTTATCAAATTACATTGATAGAATGTGTCAATAGATCTTCTGGTGTATCACCAGTGTACTGCCAAGTAAAACATAGATTATAAAACTGTTTTCAGGGGACCAATAATTCTAAGATCTTTAAATTTAGTTTAATTATAGCTGTGTGATAGAAATCTTAATTACTAGAAATAAGCCTCTAATTACTGATAGTTGGAAATGTTATTTTTGATTTATTATAGTTGTATAGTTATATTTGAATCTTGCAAGTTAAGTGTAAAAACTATATTTTATTAAAAAGAGAAGAAAAGCCTAATCCTTGATCTGTTCTTTTTAGGGAAAGTTAAGATTCCTTGTAGATAGTGCCTCCATTCTTCCTCATTTCCATGTGGGACGTGTCATGGAATTCTAGTAAAAATTTTTATTTATAGCTATGCTAAGGGAATAGAAATATTCTTGGATAGTTACAATGTTCAGTTTGTTAGCAGGGATATTTTGGGATTAAGGGAAATAATTTCTTCCCATGAAGTGGCTAAGTTTCCAAGGATTGGGTTGAAAGTGGTAGTCTGTATATTGCCAGGGACTGGTAGGGACTAAGGCTTTTTCCTCCCAGTTGTTCCCTGGGCTCAGTCTTATGCAGAAGTCAGCTGCATTTGGTACTGTATAGAGTTCTGGGTTTGAATGAAAGTATCATCTCCCGTTATAATATGTTTTTGAGAAATTGAGTTCTGAGGGTTATAAAATTGACCTATGGAATGAAACACTAGAAGAGAACTCTTAAGTTGGAGTTTGTCTGTTACAAATTTTTAATGAAATAAAGTATGAGTACTTTAAAAATAAAAAAATTTTGAAGAAGATTCGTTAAAATGTTGTATTTGAAACCATTATAAATACAATATTTCAGCTCAAACACTATTGGAATTAACATGAGGTTGCGTGGATATCTTTTTGATGGAAAAATTTGAAGTATATACGATTATCCCCATTTCTAGAATTTTTAGTGTGTTGAAAAAATTCAGATAGCTCTGTTAATGTTTATATTTGCTTTTAAAAATAAGCTTTGTCATGATGGCCCTTTTCAGTTCTGCTTAGATTGCCTATTGCTGTAATGTTTCAAGTTAAAAAATAGTACCTCCTATAATTTTGGAGTATGTTCAGTAACTTACATTAAAGTCAAGAGGTTAGTTTTAGTGAACTTTATATACATACTTATAGTTTCCAAGTGCTAATCCTTTGCTGTTAATTTGAGCTGGTAGAATATAGTTACCATTGTAAGAGAGTAGTTTCTTAAAAAGCAGACTATAACAAGTAATACTCATTTTTTAAAAAAAATTTGAAGCTTTGACAGTCTCAAATATCTTACAATAACTGATAGTTCTCTCATTTGTTTTATATACATTTGATTTTGGGTTGAAAATTCTATAGTGTAGGTAATGCTCTGTTATGGAGTAGATACAATTAGGTGCCCCGTTCTCAAAGAAGGAAGTGATTTTGGTAATAGTCTTGTTATATAGTTTGCATAAGTATTGTTAAGTTTTTAATGTTTACTAAACTAAGATAGGACAGCTCTAAGTACAGATTGTTTTGCGTAGATGCATTTAGCCCAGCACCTGCTGGTAACCAAGGTCCTCCTCCAATGATGGGTATGAATATGAACAACAGAGGAACTATACCTGGCCCACCAATGGGTCCTGGTCCTGCCATGGGACCAGAAGGAGCTGCAAATATGGGAACTCCAATGATGCCAGATAATGGAGCAGTGGTAATGTATCATAAACATTATTTTGATTATATTCAGTAATATATACTTTTCTGCCCCAAAGGTAACTTCACACTTAACATAACTTGGCATCATTTGTTTTGGCAGTAAAGGTCAATATGCAGTGAAGAAAACATAATTTTGTGAAGTTATATGTTGACTTATGAGAGGCAATTTTTATATATAACAAGAGTTAATTTACCATTCATGGCACGCTTTTGTACTCAATTATATGGCAGATACATATTAATTACAGTTATTTTTATATTGCTTTTAGTGTGTATCCACCTCTTAGTATTCACTGTAAAGGCCAAGTATTTTAAGATTGTGTTCTTTTCCTTGTGTGGACTCCTTACCTTTGGTGGGGAGTGAAACTCCAGTATGTGTGAAAACAGGTTTTAGTAAACACTTTTAACGAAAAGATCACTTATGATTAATTTCAGGGAACTTTTTTAAACTATAAAATAATGTCCATTAAAATTTTAACGTGTATTTTCAGTTTACATTTTGCAGTCTTACAGAATTATTCATTTTATAATTGTTACAGAATTTAAAAGCATACAGTTTATGTCTTGGTTTGACAGTGTGAAGATATCTTTGTGTGGGTTAAATAATTATAAAAGCAAAATTTTTCAGTAGTTCTTATTTTATTTGAATATCAGTAGCAAGACTGGTAACTTCTCTCATTTTCCTTGAAGTCTGTCACTATTTAAATGAGGCTCTTGGCAGAACATTTTCTCATTTGGTTTTTGTTAATGGTTGTTCTAAATAATATTTAGAAAAGGAAGATTTGATTGTATGTTTTGAAAAGGCAGTTTAGTTTTGGAATTACCACAACAGATGTTAAGGCGCCATTGCTGCTAAGAAAGAAAAAGCACTGCCAATTAAATTCAGACATGCCATCAACTATAAATCCATACTGTTTCAGAGATGTTAAAAGTGAATGGGCATCTTAGAATTGATGGATACAGTGTTTCATCATTTTAAAATTTATTTACTTTAATGCAGTCTTTTAAAAATTTGGAAAAATTAGACATGCCAGCAGTTTTTTTTTTTTTTTAATGAGTGTTTGTGTACAGAGATTAAAAGGCAGTGCCATAGTAGCTACTATGATTAGATGGCACATGATATAATTAGTGTACTTGTTTCCTTCTTTGGAGGCTTTATTTTATAGTAAAATGTCTAAAAGCTAAGTAAAAACTTTTACTACTTTGGTTAAGTTTTTCTGTAGCATATAATCAATCATCTGTAGTAACTTAAGAGTAATATTAACTGGCCCATTTTCCCACCCCTCTCCCTGAAATTGTAACCTTTATTTGAATATCACCCTTGGTCTTTTTCACAGTGACATTTTACTACTGCATGTAGGGAGTTCTGGTCATCCTTTGAGATTAACATATGTTGTTATTGTAAAGTTTTCCAAAGCATAAGTTTCAGATATTTATTTAATTGTGCTATTAGTAGTACATATTAGTAAACTGTCAGTTTTTAAAAAAACTGTATCTGTTTTCCCATTAATAGTCTTTCTGGAAAAACACCTCAGAGGTTTTAATGCTGAAATTTAACTCTTTGTTTTTGTACTAGTACTTTTTTTTGTTAAAAGCATTACTGTTGAAATTTTTAAAATGTTTATTTTTTCAATGTGATGCTGCTCCCCAGTTTTACCTCTTTGATTTTCAAAAAAAAATATTTTTTATTACACAGCACAGTATAAGCTTTTAAGAAAAAGAGAGATCAGAACAGTATTGTAATACTGATTAGGTTTAAATGGCACTCGCTTACTTCTTAAAATCAGTTCTTTTTTTTTTTTTTTTTTCATGAAATTGGGACATAGCATTAGCAATTGTAACTCTTCAGATGCTTTTTTTTTTTTTTTTTTAAACATAGTAACTAATTAAATTGCTCCTTTCTTCCTTCTATGTGTGATCCTGATTCTGCTGGACTTTCTGCTGAACTTCATGACACCACCACTTGGGATTTTGTCAATTTTTCTTGTCACTTACATTTGGTGTGTTCCAAATGGACTTCATATTTATTATGTGGTATTATAGCACAATGATAGATTTCCTCAAGGACCATCATCTCAGATGGGATCACCTATGGGGAGTAGAACAGGTTCTGAAACCCCTCAAGCACCAATGAGTGGTGTAGGTCCTGTTAGTGGTGGTCCTGGTGGTTTTGGTAGAGGAAGCCAAGGGGGCAACTTTGAAGGCCCTAATAAGCGTCGTAGATATTAAACATTATTTCATTCCTGGCTACTAAGAGAAAAAAACCTCAGTGGTATCCCTTTACACTTTTTCTTGTTACCTGGAAGAAATGGTTTTATTGTTAATGTATGTAGACTTTAAAGTTTTTCTTTTGTAAAACTTGAGGTTTTTGTATTTTTCTTTATTCATACATAACCTTTGTAGATTAGAATGGTAATGATGATGCTCATCATTGTGAATGTTAAAATGTGTTTGTGACTTTAGCTAAATATACGTATGCCACAGAACTGTGAAGTCTATGTAGTTACTTAATCTCAATAAAGAAATCATTTTGGATAATTTACAAATGTTATTAGTAGTATTCTCTCATAGTTTTACTAAACTTTGCTGTAACAGTAATACTTTGGTTGCTTTAATTAATCCCAATGATTTAAAAATGAAAATGATTTTCTGCTTTTTAGTTTTTGCAAGTAGCACTGAAGATAGAAGCTTAGTGAAAGCTAATGTCAGTAAGGGGTGGATAAAAATAGTACGTTGGGGAGGGATGTGGGAATGGGTTTACATTTGTATAAAACCATGATCTTTCTGTGAAATCAGAGTTGCTGTCTACATTTCATATAGATTCTGAATATTCACATATTCTGAGAAGGAATATTAAGGATATCTTTGTCCTGTGCTGATTTTTTCAAATAAACCTTTTGAATCTTGGAAAAAAAAAAACTGTTTGGAGGCAAATCTCTTTTGCTTTTAAAATTATGTCTATTTTTAATCTTAATCTGCCATTATTTGGTGTCAGTATCTAGATCTTAACCTTTTAATTTTCTTTTAAAATAAAAAAATACTGTTAGGTTGGACGTTAAAAGAGGATTTGGTGTGGTTTAGAATTGGGTATTTCTTGAGAATGTTTACAGAAGTATTAAAGATGGATTAACTTTGTGGTGTTGTAAATATCTTCCTATAGTTAGTTAAGTCCAGTAAACTTGTCTGACAGGCTGGTTGTGTTTGTTTCCAAGGAATACAGTTCAAGTGGTGATTTAAAAAAAAAATTAATTTGAGAATGGCTAAGGTCATTGGAATCAGATTAGTTCCCTCTACTGTCAAATACATATTTTGAAGTTTGATTTTCAGTACTAGGAATAAACTGATTTTTATCACATTATAATTGTTATTCTAAAACAAAGTCCTTGCTATATTTAAATTTTTGTATGTTAGCCATGTTTAATTTAAAATTATGTTTAAGGAATTATATATTTACATTAAGCCATAAATCTGATGCATCATCTATTGATAACATAGTTATTTCTCACATTTCAGTGTGTTACTGTATCATGCTTTTAGCATTTTTATGAAAACTATTCTGTTTTGAAATGAACAGTATGTAAAAATTAACTTGTTTTTGCATGGTATTTGTTTATGCTGAAAGGCATACTTTGTAAAAAAATAAATTCGGTTAATTTAAAATCTTGCATAAAAGCAGATGTAAAGCAAAATTGAGATGCATTCTTTTGTAACATTTTCCTTTTGTACTGTTTCACATATTTTTTAAACAGCTGTATGGATAGAATTATTTTCTAAAATTTGCTGTATTCATAGGCATTTGTTTTTTGGCAAATACTTGAAAACATGATTTGGAAGTTGTAAGTAATAGTCAAAAAAGATTCTTCTCATCACATTGTCCGTGTGTATGATGAGTTGGCAGGGAGTGGAATTTAATTAATTGCAGTGTAGGCAGTTTTAACATTAACTATAATTTTTAAATGATACCTGTTGCACCTAAATATCTTTCCCATCATCTTTATTTTTATTCATATAGTCCCAGGTAATTGCTAGCATTGTATTTTGCTTCAAAACTGAATTAAGAGTGGGAAACACTTGATCCTTTGATGTTAATACCAAGCTGTCTTTGGCCAAGGCTGTGAAATTTTGTAAATTGATTCAAGAACATTTGAAAGCCAGTACACAAAGAGATGTCCTAATCTCCTGAACGTTCTAGTGTCCGGCTCAACTCTGGCTCCAAGAATAGAGTTCTACACAGCTTTTTCCCTGCATCAAGAAAATCTTTGTTCCAGTACTTACCAAGTTTACCCTGGGAACAGTCAGCTTCTGAGTGACAGTCAAGTGGAGCATCTGTGAACCCTCAGTTACTCAGTTTTTAGTGTTTTTGTATGAACAACTTTGTGGCTGGTTCAGTCAGTATTTTTTCTTGTGAATTAGTATACAAACTGAGGAAGATATTTGAATGTCTTTGCTTAAAAGCAGTAGATATAAAAATAAATAATAGCTTTTCTAAATAAGTGTGAACTTGTCATATGCTACCATAATTTTCCATAAAAAGCTAATATGAAACAATCTTAGAATTTCACAGTATCATGTTTCCTTTTGTGTCATAATTTACTGAATTAACTCTGTAGATTTAGATTTCATATGCTATTATTATGTAAGTAATGTATATAAAATAAAGAAACACCCATTTTCCTAATTATTTTGTCAAAATTTACCCGTTTTTTGTTTGTTTTGAAGATAAATAAATTGTTTTTCTTCTTGCCAGATCTAGTTTTTTTGTTTTGTTTTGTTTCTTTGTTTTTAAAGAACTTTTGGTTCATCCAAATTTCAGAAAACCCAATTTGTTATTCCTTGAAATTTTGGATTTTTCTTTTTAAAATGAGTACTGAGCACTCAGTGAAAGAAATTATTTAACCCAACGGTATCCATAATATTAAAGGAAAAAATAACCTGTTTTCACCAGAATTGCCATTTATTATAAGAAATAGAAATTATCAACAAGGACATTAATGGAATGTTGGATCTTGTTTCTCAAGTACTAATTGAAGTTACATCTTCACATTTTATTCAAAACATACTTGTTGAACATTTCAGTAACTTGGTATTTAAAAAGTAAAGTCTATAATAATTACTAAGTATTAGTGTGAATGATTAATGGTCACTAATTAATATTTGGGGGTTTGATTCTGAATTAGAAAAAGATAGTGTGTGATTGAAATAAGTGTGATTTAAAAAAAAAGTCTTGTGAATGTGATGTTTATGTTTAAACCTTTTTTAAAAGTTTTGAAATTTAGTGTCAAATGGGACTATCAGAAATAAAAGGGATATGTTATTTTGCAAAAATAGAGGAAATTTTCTGGGGAATATTGTGGTATTTAAATGATTTGTATGTGTTGTTGTGTTATAATATCTCATAATATGTTAAAATATGTTCCTGAAATATAAGAAAGTGCTAATGATTTGAAAGTCAGACTATTTTCAAAAATAAGTTAGTGAACACCCACGTATCTGACTCCTAAATTAAGCAGTTGTAAATATGTTCCTGTGCTTAATTCATTGATAGATGCTTGTAGACATGGACTTATTTGGGACAGGGTGGAGGGAAGAGGTGGAAACTACTTCCAAGTAAGTAGCAAGTCCATCACTTAAGTTAAATAGACCCGTTTGGGTTTATTTAATCCTAAATAAATGATGATTAAATACATCTAGTGTCATACTTTCAAAAGCATTATTGTCTTTCCTGCACCCTTCAGAACTAAATTTCTAAAAACAGGAAACAATTTTTGTGTGCTCACTTTACATAATTGTTCACAGTTGTGTAAAATGAAACACACAAAGCTTCCCAGTTGAGTGTGGACTAGTAATTTTTAGAACATCACTCTGGGGAAATAGTGAAGAATTTCATTATTTTTTTAGTGTCTGATCTTAAATTTTTTTAATAGTGTCTGATTGAACTCTGTTTATGTATTATATATTGTATTCTTTTTTTATTTGTCAAAAGCACTGTCTTCTACATGTAGAAAATCCATCTTGAAATTTTGTTTTCTTGATTACTGAAAAACAGTATTAATAGTTGAAGTTTGAATCTTAAAAGACTGAATATTTAAAGGCAGAACCATACTGCGGTTACCTTGGGAATATTACTTCTTGTCTTTTTCTATAAAACCATGTTTAGATTATAACTATCCTCAGGGATTCCTTTTGGTTGAAACTTACTATTTGATTATTTTTTTCATTTACCTGGTGGGATCAGTGGAAGATACTTTGTTTTATGATGTACATTTTCCCTTTTCAATAAGAGAAGCCTGTATTTTCTAGATGGAGTATAGTGCATTTCTTAAAGTAATCTTGCCAGTTTGTAGTACACATTTTTTAAAAATTGTTTTTCAAGTATATTGTTTTATGGTTTGAATCACTGTTACTCTTACCAGTTCTTACCTCTGCAGTAGATACTAGATTTTGTTACTGTGTTGATACAAAAATCTTAAGTTAGAATTACTGTTTGTCTTCTGAGTTAAAGAAGTGGATTTTAAAAGGTGGTATTCTGAATATATGTGTATGTAAAATTTCAGTTGTGTTTTCTACAATATAATCACCCAAATTTCATGTAAGGCACTTCCATCTCATAAAGACTAATTAGTATGATTAGGTAGAATTAAGAAGTGTGCTTAGTAGGAATACATACTTTTTAAATTTTCAACTTATTTTTTTTTTAAGTATCAATTGGGACACCTAGGTGGCTCAGTCGGTTAAGCATCTGCCTTCTGCTCATGTCATGATCCCGGGTTCCTGGGATTGAGCCCCACATTGGGCTTTCTGCTCAGCGGGGAGTCTGCTTCTCTCTCTCCCTCTGTTCCCCTCCCCCAATTCGTGCTCCCTCTCTCTCACTCTATCTCAAATAAATAAATAAAATCTTTAAAAAATAAGAGTATTGTCAATTAATAAGAAATGGTTTTTATTAATTAAAAACAAGGGTTCTGCATTGCATCAGTAGTAATGTGTGGACCTTACTTGAGTAGTGATGTAATGGACCTAGAGTTTCTTAAATTCTCTGTGTAAGTGTGTTTGCAGCATTGAAGACTTCAGAATTGATACTTATATCTAAAATTTGTTTCTAGCTCTGAAATTATTTCAGATATTTAAGGTAGGAAATACATGGATATAAGTATCAAAACTTAAAGGAGTAGCCACAGTAATCCATTATGTTTCATGTTATATCTGTGACTGGATCTCTTAAGACATATTCGTCCTTGTTTCATCTTCTTTATGCAAAATGTCATCCTGCCAGACATTTGTGAATGTGAATGAGGGTTTACGTATGTTTTGGGGGTTTAGAAGAACCATGTAAATATAATCCTTTAACTATTAATTTTGCCAAGTTTGGCCTATGAGTTACTCTCATTTTTATATGCTTATTTAATTTCTGCAAATTATACTATCATACATTTTGCCAAAATAATGGTAGTTAATTTTTTGTCAGGGTATTTTCAGATTATTAGGTAACATTAAATCAGCATCAAATGTGACACATTGCTTAGATTTACAAATGTTGCTTGGTGTTTTATGTAATGAGAAAAAGTAAACAATCTCACACATAGTGATTGTCTTAATTTCCGACCTTAAAAGTGTTGGAGGCACTAGTAACTTGCTTAGTGGTTACTTAGTCTGTAATGCTAATTCTTAGAATTGCTTAGAATATATATATGTTCATGGACTGGTTAGAATATTTTAAACATTAGGAATCAGCAGTTCAACAAAGTTGAACATGAAAATCAGAGTAATTGTCCACAAAATGATACTTTTGCAGTCATACAGAGTTTATGGGGGAGCTATGTCATTCAGAATTGCACTATATCCGTGTATTTATTGTACCAATATGTATTGAGGGGTCCTTTTGTTTGCTGTACCCTTTCCTAAGGCGGAGATACAGGAGTGGAAAAAACAAAATCCCTACTCTTAATTAAAAACCAGCATCCATGTGAATATCCTTTCAGATTGGTAGTTCTCACACTTCAGTGTGCATTACAGTCACCTGGAGGGCTCATTAAAACAGATTTCTGGGCTCTACCTCACAGTTTCTGATTCAGCAGGTCTCAGGTAGGGCTAAGTAATGTGCATTTCTAACAAGTTCCCTGAAGAAGATAGTGTTGGGTTTGGGGACTCTTTGAGAATCTCTGTTCTGAAGTGTTACTCAAAAGAATCATGGTAACTTTTTTGGTTAGTTGGTTTTTGTTGGTAGCATAGGTGATTGTCCTGGTATGTTATATGTTATTTAGGATCTCTGGCCAATCATTGAGACCATTCAAAACTCCCAAACGTTTCCAGTTACTGCCAACTGACAAGTACTGCAAAAAAGTCCATTAATTTTAAGTAGGCTATTGAGTGCTAAATCTTACACATAAGATTTTTGAACTAGGATTTTTTGTGTCACAGGCCTAGTGAATTCAAGTGAAAAGAGAATACAGAAAAGTACAATTTGAAAATTTTGTAAAGGTTTCTCACTTAACCGATTTTCAACTACCTATACAGGATGAGAAATGGAACACTGTAACAATGTTTTTGTAGAAGTATATTTGAAGATGCCTGGGGTGCCTGGCCAGCTGTAGGACTTCTGCTTGACCTTGCTGGGGTCATGAGTTTGAGCCCATGAGTTTTGGGTGTCATGGTTATTTAAAAAAAAAGAAAAGAAAAATCGTGAAGTGCTTATGCCTGACAGATGAAGGTTTTAGAAAACACTTCTGGTCTTTGCTTATCATCTTGGTAAATATGAATATAGTGACACTATTTTGATGAATTAAAATGATGACTCAACCTTTCTCTTTTGTGAACTGGTCTTTTAGTTTACTAGATTGAAGGTACAGATTTGATAAATGCATTTTCCAAGACAGTATATTTATTAAAATAATTTTCTCTTGGTTTGCAGCTTTAATTTTCATTACTCGTTTTAGAAAGTAATGCCACCAAGGAGTTCAGTAAATGGAAATTGTTAAGCAATTTTATGGTAAAGTTATAGCCTAGCTTATGAGACCTTACAAAGATTAATGCTGCATATATGTATTATTCAAAGTCTATTCAATACATTAAATGCAGTACATTAAAACAATTACATTGATCCATAATGCGAGCATATAGATGTGATACTGATTATAGTTCCTTTCAAAAATTTTGACTATTATTAGTGCAAAGAAGCAATCACCTGGTTTATAGCCTTTTAAATATTTCAGCAAGTAGTTTCTAGAACCTTGTGTATATCTGCTAAAATCTGTGTATAGGAAACAGAGAGACTTGTTTGTTATTTTGATGTCACCTGGGTGCCCCTCTCTCTCTTGCTTCCCAAAGATTGCCATACCATAATGTCCTCTCAGTTTTACCAGGAAATCCACATTGACCAAGCATTTTGTGGTTTTGTGAACTAGAAATGGGATTGACTCTGAGTGGTTAACATATCTGTCCTCAAGGAAGTCAACTCATCTACTCATCTACCTTTTATCTTTCAACTTTGCATCAACCTTCCCCCCCCCCTTTTTTTTTAAATTAAAAAGTCAGATTCCTTGCTCTACAGGAACCCAGGATTCAAAGATACTACTAGGTTTCTTCCCCAACATGGCTTATTACCCTTTTTTCCAACTGTGAAATTCTCATGTAGTCTATTGAGAGTAAAAGTTTCTTGAATCTGTTCTTTAAAAATTATGTGGATAGGTTTCTTACACATTTATTTTTCCTCTTCAATTATTTATTACTAGTTTTCTTCAATCAAGAAATGATTAACTCCTGTGGCAGTACTTGGACACTACAGGAAATTATATTTCTACAACTCAGTGCTTTATTTTTAGGAACACAAATGGAGAAAAAAGGTAAAATTTGAAAAAGCAAGCTGTTAATCTACACCAGTTTTCTTTCTTTCTTTTTTTGTTTTTTAAGATTTTGTTTATTTATTTGACAGCACAAGTAGGCAGAGTGGCAGTCAGAGAGGGAGAAGCAGGGAACCCCATGCGGGGCTCGATTCCAGGACCTGAGCCCAAGGCAGCTGCTTAACCTACTGAGCCACCCAGGTGCCCCTATATTGAAGGTTTCTGATTCATGTTATGGTTTCCCTATATAGCAATGTCCCCTTATCTGAGGAGGAAACATTCCAAGACCCCCAGTGGAAAAGCACAGACAGTACCAAATCCTGTACGTACTTTTTTCCCTAATTAACAGGCACTTCTGTAGTAAAGTTTAATTTATAAATCAGGCACGATAGTAGGAGATTAACAATAATGACTAATCAAAGATACAATTATACTATAAATAAAAGTTATGTGAATATGGCCTCTGTCTCGGAATATTGTACCTGTATTCAATGCCTTTGATGATGTGAGATGATAGAATGCATTTGTGACGAGATAAAGTGAGGTGAATGTCAGGCATTGTGATGTAGCATTAAGCTACTATGACCTTCTGACCATATGTCTGAAGAGTATTGTCTGCTTCCAGACTCTGGGTAACTGGAACGGTGGAGGGCAAAACCACAGATAAGGAAGACTTCTGTATTCCCTGGACACCTGATCCTATATTTAACAGCCCGAATTATTTTCCTACTAGGCAGGTATAAAAACTTTAGATTTATACTGGTTCTGTTGCTACTATTAGAATAAGACAAGATGATTAATTAGGAAAATTCAGAAATCCTTTTTTTTTGTTTGTTTGTTTTCTTTATATTATGGTACATTGACTTTGACCTGGAGCCATTAAACCTTTTAAAATTTTAGAGGAGATCGGAAGGTTTTAGAAAACGACATGCTCCAAATTTTGGGGAGTAGGAACTATAATATAGGTAACAAGTATTCAGATTAATTTCTCCCTTGCTATATAATATGCTTATATTTTTAGAGGAACTCGTTTATGTCCCAGTATTTGTGCTACAGTGTCAGAGCTGGGGTAAACTAAGATATAGTTAGGTTCATATTATGATCTTTTAGACCTCTGAATGGACGAGATATTCCCTAGGTTGATTGAAATTATAAATCTTAAAATTTGAATTATTTTGCAGCTACTTGAACCATATGGAAGACAACCTGTCACAAGCAGTTTCTAGTCATTCTTTTTTTAGATTACATAAGTATGATGCACATGTTAAATAATTTAGCATTTAAAACATTCAGTACTGGTTTTCTACTGTTGCCGTATTGACGGTTTCTTGCAGTTTGGGCACTGCAGATAATAGCTGTATGCAGAGTAGAACAACCCTCAGCTCCTATGGCACTAGTGTTCTAGACCTAGAGGAACAAATAGAATTGAAATAATTTATGAGGTCTTAAAGGTAGAGAAAGTGACAGCTGTTTTAGATAAGAGGACTAGAAAATGTCTGTCTCAGGAGAAAAAGGGACAACATTGTTTAATTTGGTCTGTGCTGATAAAAGACAACATTGTTGTGGGTGAAGTGGATGCGGTAAATCTACTGTTGGAGCTGTGCTGTTCAATGTGGCCATAATTGGGCTATTGAATCTTTGGAATGGGACTAGTGAAACTAAGATTTTTAATTTTATTGTAATTACATTCAATTTTTCGGTACAGTGTTTAGCATATTTGGGAAAACTTGGGTATTCAAATCTTTTGCATCTTAAGTAATGAAATATACATACACATAAATATTGGAGAGACTTTGCCAGTTGAATTAGATGTTTAAAGTACAGAATTGGAAAGATTTGATATGAAGAATGTAAATAAACTATCTCAGTTTTTAATATGGTCATATGTTGAAATGATAAAGTTTGTATATATTGGGTTAAATAAAATGTACTATCTAGCTAATTTCATCTGTTGCTTTTTTTCTCTTTACTTAGAAATTTAAAATTTCTTACATTGCATTTTTCTTCTGGTTAGTGCTGGTCTAGAACAGTAACTTTGTCAAATTCTCTTTTCCTTACATGGATGTAATTCTAGAATCTCATTACATGGTGTAATTATGCAGTTATTTTTGTCTTTTTAGCAAATGAACAATTTGAGTTTGAACTTTAGAGTTTATGTATTAACCATTAGGTGTTAGATTGATTTCCTGGTAGTATAATTGCTTGGTGTTTGTGCAGGAGTGCAAGAAAGGAATTTGAATACCAGCTTTTAGGAAATAAATTGTACACATTAAGTTTACAGTTACTTCTTTCACTTTTGTTATTTTTCTTTTGTGTTTATTATTTACTTGATACTCCATGAAGTCCCCAAATTTTATTGTCCTACAAGATTTCTCTTAAAATCTTTGTGTGATGATTTTGTGTTCATTTATTTGTTTTCTTGATTCTGTCCAGAGTGTCAGCACTAGGAGAGTACGGATCTTATCATTTAGTGATTTGTCTTCATTTTATATTACATCCTCATTAAATGTTTGTTTAGTGAATTAATGACACCAGCTGAGGGCAACACACGGTTGTTGACATGAGAATATACAACAAATAAAATATGGTCCTTGCCCTCTTGGGATTTAGAGTTTAGTGGTTTTACAGAAGCAAAGTGTAAGACCAGTTGGTAGTAAGGAAGGGTATAGGAAATGTTCTGAAAACCTAGAATCAAGTATTCATTTACACTGGGAAGACTGGGAAGAATTCGCTAAGATGATAACTTTTGAGCAGGTCACAAAGGTGAATAAATACTTGTTAACTGTAGGTTTTTTGGATGTAGAGGATAGGGAGGGAGAGTTGTGGGAAGATGGAATGGTGTCAGAAGGGCTAATAAGTGAACAAAGATGCTGAGCAGTTAGTAAGGAGCTGTTTAGGGGAGGAGGTAAGAGTAGAGAAGGTAACAAGTAATGTTTAGATAAAACTGATCTAAGTAGAGGAGTTTTGATCTTTGCCTTTTAGGTGACTGGGTGTTAGGACAAGAAGTAAATGGATCAGAAAACAGACCACATAGATCATTGGTTCACTCTCATATTCTCCTCCCCCCACATGATACCTGAAAGGATCTTTTAGTGTCCATGATGATTGTTCCGATTCCAGATGGTAATTCAGAAGTAGAGTGAAGAGAGGAGGAGTAGAGTGGGAGAGGAGGAGATGAAAAGTGATCTAGGAGTTTTCTAGTTTGAATGATGGGGTGATGATAGTGATAACCATTAACTGAAACACAGAAGGTAAGTGTGTTCAGGATCAGGGGTGGGGTAGCTGCTTGAGGGAGAGGAAGGTATTGGATTTTTTTAATATTTCAGTTTTGAGTATCTATGGTGGATTGTTGGGATTTTAAAACTCTACTGGTAAATATGTTCTCAAGGCACTGTCATTTGTTAACTTGTCATGCTTTTCCTTTGTTCTTGTAATTTAGTTTCCACATCATATCTAGTGCATCCTTTTAAAATGTGAATTAGATCATTGTAGGTCTCTTTTTTCAGATGCAATAGCCTTTCATTTTAATTGAAACCCAACTATAAGGGTACCTGGGTGGCTCAGTCAGTTGTACCTCAGACTCTTGGTTTTGGCTTAGGTTGTGATTTTAGGCTTGTGGGATGGAGCCTGGCTCGTGCTCTCTCTGTCTCTTTCCCTGTCTCTCAAAAATAAAAACAAACAAAAACAAAAAACCAACTATATTGTTGGTCACAGGGATTTTTTTTTTTTTAAAGTAATCCCTACACCCAACATGGGGTTCAAACCCACAACCGCAAGATCAAGAGTTGCACACTCTACCAACTAAGCCAGCCATGTGCTTCTAGGTCACAGGGCTTTTTATGATCTGTTCTCAGTCTACCTTTCTAACCTCATCTACTTTCCACCCCTTGTGGACTAAACTAAAATTGTTCCCCTGTCTCCCCAAATATTTTTGTAGGTTTCTTAAGCGTCTTATAGGATTTTCAGTCCTGTCACTTTGTCAGTTATATCATGTTTACTTACTTGCTTGTTATGCTTGCATTTTATTCATCTCTTATTAGTGTTCCCCATATCATAGCACATTTGACATTCAGTATATTTTGAACCAGTCTCAGGGAACATCATGGAGTAATGGCATAGATTTAAGTGTAGTTTTCAGAACCAACTAAAGTATATGGATGAAAATCCCAGATTGCTTATTCATTTCCTAAACAGTTATTGAACAGTTTTGTCTCAGCTCATTTGTATAATAGTGAAGAAAATAGAATTGGTCCTCACCCTCTTTAAGCTTGAAGTCCGGTGGGTGGCAAGAGAAATCATGGGAAGAAATGATAAATTCTTAGATGATTTCATCATTGTACTGAGCGTCAGAGAAAGAGCCAGTAGAGAGTATGAGTGAATAGTCCAGTTTTTAATAGAATTTAGGAGAATATGTATCCTTACATATGTCCATATAGAAATCTATCTAAAAAGAAAGTACTAAGAGCAAGTGATAGAAGGACATGTGAAGGGAGTAATTTGAAATGGGTGGATGGAAGTCACACCTTACACTGAGGCTAGAGAGTTGTTGAGGTTGATGGCATGGAAGAAAGCAAATTTTTAACTCCTGGAACAATAAGGATTCTTAAATTTTTTCAATTAAAAAAGTTCCCAAGTGTATGTTTTGTGTATTGGGTGTCTCAGGTACAGTGGTGTTTTGGTGTTGGTGGAATCCTAAGCATTAAGGAGACCACAGGTATTGGAAGGAAATAGAAAAGCCTTCCTGAGTGTCAGGGTCACTTGGGTGGCTCAGTCAGTTATGTGTTCAGCTCTTGATCAATTCTTGATTTTGGCTCAGGTCATAATCTCAGGGTTGTAAGACCAAGCCTGTGTCAGGCTCTGTGCTGTGCATGGAACCTGCTTAAGATTCTCTCCTTCCCCCTCTTAAAATAAAACGCCTCTTAAAGTGTCCAAATCCAATTTCTATTTCCAGAAAAAGAATACCTGTTTTTCTGATTGAGTATAAAATGAAGGCTGTTGATTGTAAGTTTACATATTTGTTTCTCTGTTGCACCTTTTCTAATCATTGGTGTATGTTGAAGAGAAGATTTGAAGCAGGAAAAGTAGGACAGGCTGGCTGCAAAGAGCAACTCCTTGGGAAATACTCAGAAGGGTCTCCTATTAACGTGTAGCAACTTCGGCTCATTGTTGCTGTGATTATCCATATACACTTTTTAAAAATGTGATCATCAGATATATGTCTACAGACACTGAATTATGGTAATTCTCTAGTAATTGAACTTTAAAATGACAGAGTGGTTAAGATTTATTTCCAGAGAAGTCATTCAATAAAGCTTGGATGTTATGAAGGGAACGCCTAGTCCTCCTAGAAGATTTGAAAAATAACTTGGGTATTATATGAAAAAGAGCTTGAAAAACTATTCTGTACAAATATTGGGAGAGAAAAGCATATAATAAAAAGCTTGAAGAAACTTTATCTTACTTGGTCTTTTATTAACAGTTCCTATTTAAGAGTGGGTAATTATTCCAATACTCTGAAGGGTTTCTTCAGGGCTACGGATTCCCTTCCATTCCTTTATCATTGTCTTTGAGTTAACATTCATTACTGTTCCTTTTGATGGATTATAGGGATTTTTAAAATTACCTATAAGAGAGGCATTATTTGCTTTTCTGAATTGCTTTTACAATATGATTTGAAATATTTCTAAGAAGATTAACATTTTTCTCAAATAGTAGACATTACTAAGTTCCTGGATTTAGGTTTTTATCTTTCATGTATTTTTTAGTAAATGCAAATTAGCATAAGTTAGGAAGAAAGGGAATGCCACTTCGTTGGGACCTAAACAAAACAATTTTCTGTTTTGCCATTTTTTTTCCTCCTTGACTTCAGAGCTGTTGAAAAATTGGGAGATAAATGTCCAAGTGCAGTATTTGTGAATGTTTTTAAAAATTTCCAGTTTACATTATGGTACAACTTTAGTTAATAATCAACATGTTAACAGTGGTACATGTCATCTAACATCTACATGGAGGACAAATAAATTGAGTCAACTCAGGTTAGCCAAAGTTCTAATGTAATTTTTTCTTTATAGTTAATATGTACTATATGAAATAGAAGAGTCTGTGTTTATGTTTTTTGGTTTGGGGTTTTTTTTTCTTTAAAGCCCTGAGATCAATTCCTGAGCTGATATCTAGAGTCATATTTTAACTGACTGAGCGCCACCCAGGCACCCTTAAGTGTATTTTAGTATTTACTTGAACCAGAGTTAAATTTTCTTTGTTTCAGTAGTGTGGAAAGAGAATTGGTTTAAGACCACTAATTGCTGTTTGAACTAATTTGTGTAAGTTTTTCATAAAAATTTTCCCCCAGCATTCAGTATCTTTACCATTTCATTAATTTCCCATGCTCATCATCCTGCTTTTAGCTCCCCTCCTCATCCCAGGATTCTTCCTGAAGGCTCACTTTTTTCTGCTCCAGTCTGAGCTGTTGCTGTATGGAACAGCTGCAGCAAAACGATAGCCCGTAGAGTCTCAGTGCTTTTCAGGATTGTATGTGCTTTTGGCTGAATCATCATTAAATGAAAGCAACTATTCCTTTCTTGTTTGTTCTTTAATAGTTATTTTCTTCGGGGTAGTGCGTGAAGATACGCATACACAGTAGCATGGGTGCTAGTACTATAATGAGTTTTTTGTTTTCCAGAATTTTATCACATCGTTAAAAATAACTTAGGTATTAGAATGCTAATTTAATGTATGTGCACTGTTGCTGTTGTAATTGGATATATGCATGCATTTGGTCAATAAAAATCTTTTTTTTTAAATGGATAGGGCCTATGAATGAATTGTGAAGAATTATATCATTGTTACATTTGGAAAGAGCATAGGTGAGTATAAAATAGAAGTGGTCATAGATCATGAATCACTGATTCTATGGTAGGTACTATTGACATGGAATATCAGTTCTATTTAAGTATTTGCTACATTTAAGACTTAGGGCAGCCAATATGGGGTAGATACAAGGTGCTCCTGTTGTTGAGCAGTTCCAAACCCTGGTGGCTGAGGTTGGAATGTAGTATAATAGTTATTATACAGTGGTGAAGAAAAGGCCCAAGGGAAAACAAGAGGATGGTAAACATAGTAGGGGCAGCACCTTTGAATAATTTAAGACTCGGATTACATTTACATGACTTGGGAGGCAGGGAGAAGAAAGGAAAAATTCAAGAAAGCACACGTGAATATAAAATAAGTCTTGGAATCATCAATAAAAATGTGTTTTGTTGTGTTTGACTTGGAGCATCATGTGCAGTAGGTTATCACGTATTCTGTTACCCACTGGGAAAAAAATAGCATGCTGTGTATTCAGCTCAGTGGCAGTGCTCAGTATCTTAGGGTGACTTCACTTACTACATATGAGATCTGTTTGTCCAAAATTAAGTATTACAGAGAGTTTAGAGAAGAGAAATGAGTAGAAGATAAACTAATTGGGAAGGATGAGGAGAATGTTCTTGTTTAGGCAAGGGAGATTTGAGGACCATTCAGAATAAAAGGGAGAGAATTACTTAATGAGTGTGTCCAAGGAATTGGGAAGGTAGAAGTGCCCGAGTATCATTTTCAAGATGAGTTACAGCTCGTCTTTGAGAGCAGGTGTAATCAAAGAAGACCCATTATGAGCAAAGCCTGGGAGCTGATAAATGTGCACGAAGCTGGTAGTAATCCAGAAGAATAGGAAACTAATGAAATCTTATTCCATGGCAAGATATATTGGAAGTTTTTGGCCAGAGAATGGTGGTGGTCAGGTTTGTATTAGTAAAGTTAACTACATTTTGGGAAGGGTACATTTGTAGGAACTCAGACTGCAGGCAAGGAAACCAGTTTTTATATGTTACTTGGATTGGAAAGGAATAGTCAAGACCCTAATTAACTATGAAATGGTCAGGGCTTAGTGGTTAATTGGATGTGGGGGGCCATTATGTGGGAAAACAAAGATGACTAGTTCTTAACCAAATGGTAGGTGACTTTGGTGCTACCAACTTCGAAGAATAGAGCAGCAGTCTGGATGGAAGGCTTCAGGTTCTTGTGACATCTACTAAGTGTTTTCAGCATGAAAAATTGTGATGCTTAGGAAAAGGTATTGGCTCAAGAATTTTGTGGTCAACAAAATCAATAATTAATAAATGAAAGTATGAAACAAATAGTTCACCAGTGCAAAACTTATATAGACTTATATAGATTAGGGGCTATGATACCTTCTAACCATCTGTGTAGATGGGGTTTAGGTAGGTTTTAAAGGGCTTGGTGAACTAGGTTGATTCTGAGGGGTTTGAACTGAGTCTCATGCTGGAGTACTGGAGTTTAATCCATGAATACTGCAGTTGTGTGCATTAGTTATAGAAACAAACTTGTTAAAGGAATGGACATTTACTAGAGATTGATTTCATTCATATTTGGTCAGTGGTCAGCACAAGGAAATATGGAAACCAGAGGTGGACTAACACCTATTGCCTTACTCTTCAAACTTAAGTTTGAATTACCTAAGTAAGCCCTATAGTACAGTCATCATTCAAATACTTGTATGAGATCTAGAAATAATCCTTTGCACACTCTTGTACTTTGGAAAGCATTAACACCTAATAAAAATCAACTAGCCTTCAAATACTATTGATATATAAACTACTCTATATTTTTTAATTATTTGAATAATAATACGCATCTGGTATGCAAACGTGAAAATAAAATACGCTATGTAGTGAAAGTAAATTTCTCCCAGTTGTGTCTCCCAGTTGCTCAGCTTCTCTGTTCAGGTGTATTCATTGTTACTAATTTCTTGTGTATCCTTCCCGAAGTTTCTGTGTACTCATAGAATATTTGTATTCTATGTTTGTATACATTCTTAATACATATGCAAGGACACTGTACACACTTTTGCCATTTACTTATTTCCTCACAATATTCAGTTTTGGAGGTTGTTCAAGTAAATGCACATGTGAGAGGGAGAGAGATCCCTTTTTTTTTTTTTTAAAGATTTTATTTATTTGTCAGCGACAGAGGGAGAGCGAGCGAGCACAGGCAGACAGAGGCAGAGGGAGAAGCAGGCTCCCCGCCAAGCAAGGAGCCCGATGTGGGACTCGATCCCAGGATGCTGGGATCATGACCTGAGCCGAAGGCAGCCGCTTAACCGAGCCACCCAGGCGTCCCGAGATCCCTTGTTTTTACATCTGTTGCTTGGTCATTATTAGTTATGTTATGGATCTTTTTTGGCCGATGATTAATGTATGTTCCCTCCCTCCTCCCACCCCACCCTCCCACCGCTTCTCCCCTTTACATGCTCTAAAGTACGTATTTGGGCATGTATTATGAAGCATGTATGTGGATGTATATATAGGATAAAATTTCTACCAATTCAATTGTTTGGTCACTGGGTATGTATATTTTTAAAGGTTTTTTTTTTGGGATGTTCCCTATCCTAACTAAAGACAATGAGAATTTAACTTTATTCCCTGCGGTCCCCAACCAAATGCATGAAGTCAGTAAAGATCAGAAATTAATAAAAACTGATGGGACTGTTGCAGGTAATAGGTAGAAGTTTTAGAATAGAAGTTATGTGATTGAACTTGGAAGAGCTTTAAAGTCTAAAGTTGGCTAATAAGAATTCTGGGAATTAGAGGGGCGCCTGGGTGGCTCAGTGGGTTAAAGCCTCTGCCTTCAGCTCAGGTCATGATCTCAGGGTCCCAGGATCAAGCCCCCGCATCGGGCTTTCTGCTCAGCAGGGAGCCTGCTTCCCCCTCTCTCTCTGCCTGCCTCTCTGCCTACTTGTGATCTCTGTCTGTCAAATAAATAAATCTTTTTTTAAAAAGTTCTGGGAATTAGAGACCTAAAGTCTTGTGCTTTAAATATTAGATTACATTAAGTAGTTGCTTGTTTAATTAAACTATTAATGTTTTTAAGAGAATTATCAATAGATTAGATTTTTTAAAAAAGGTTTATTTTAGAGGGAGAGTGAGAGAGTGATGTGGGGTGGGGGGAAGTAAGAGCAGAAGGGGAGAGAGAATCTCAAGCAGATACCTTGCTGAACATGGAGCCCAGTATGGGGCTTAATCTCACAACCCTGAGATCATGACCGGAGCCCAAACCGAGAGTTGGATGAGCCACCCAGGTGCCAAATGTGTTAGATTTTTTAAAATGACATGGTGAACATTAACAGTTTGCCTTATGAGAGATATTACAGTGAATATAATAATGGCTTTGTTTTTTTGTGATAGAGAAGGGGAGGAGGGCATTAGACTCGAATTCAGAAATTTTTCACTTAAAAAAATTTCTACGATTCTCCAGTGATGGGAGTGGGCATAAAGTTGTGGTGCTCAAATACTTAACTTGGATTTCATTTCTTAAGTGTCAAAAGTAGAAGAACCATAAACTTTCCTAGAAGAATTCCCATCTTTGGTGTTCATACTACAATATCACTTTGAATTTTAGATCTTGTACTATTTCGAAGTACTAGAGGGAGGTAAATACGTCATTCATAAACCAAAAAGGATGGAGGCTCTAAGCTGTATTTTAGATTAGCTCTACCTAGAATTAATAAAAAAAATTCAAAGACACTTGTATACATTCCCAAGGAACTGTGGTTTTTATTCAGTGAATTATTATATATGTTTAAAGACTTTATAGCAAAATGAAATGATTTTTTTAATTAAAAAATATCTTCAGATAGTAACTTTAAACAGTTATGTATATTGTTTGCTCAAGGACTTGAATGAGCAGTTTGCTGTTCGCAGAACTGAAATCTCCTTGGTCAAAGGTCATTTATTCCACCATTCGTCATAATCATGAAGTATTCTCTCCAAGGTATGACTGGAGGATAAACATTATTTTGTTTCACCACATATTGTAGTTATTAGACTTCTTAAGAAATATTTATTGAGCACATACTGTAGCAGTACTAGGACTATTCTGACTCTTCTAATAAAACCTAGGGAATACAACTGGGCTAGGGAAACAGATAAGTCCATTTTAGCTAGGATGGTCAGGGGAGGCGTCTCTGAGGAGATGCTTGAGCTGAATGATACCTGAATAATCAGAAGGAAGGGACTTGCAGTGTTGGAGGTGTTGAAGGTGAACCCAGTTCAAACTGAGGAGTTTATCATTTATAGCATGGAATAGGAAAATGTCTTTTGTGGCGGGCATTAAGTGAACAAGGCAAGGGTGTTTCTTAACCCTTTTTTTCCCCCTTAATTGCCACCCCCATGGCCCTCATGAAATTTTTTGACTCCCTCGTGAAATTTTAACTCAGCTGTTTATGTACTATAAATATATCTGTTATATCTATGCTTTTATACATTAAAAGAAATTTTTGCCTTTCCCTACTCCTACCTTCAACTAATTTTCTCCCACTTGGGGGCAGTACTGTGCCATTGAGAAAGCAGGATGTACACCAGTGTATGCCCTAGTAAATAGTTGAGATATATATATTTTTTTAAGATTTTATTTATTTATCAAAGAGAGAGCGCACAAGCAGGCAGAAGAGGAGAGAGAAGCAGGCTCCCCGCCGACCAAAGAGCTGGAGTCGGGACTCGATCCCAGGACCCTGGAATCATGGCCTGAGCCCAAGGCAGCAGCTTAACCAACTGAGCCACCCAGGCATCCCGAGATTTTTTTCTTGATGAGATATCATCATGAAGGCTTGGGCCAGGTTGTGACATGATCTAGTTTATGTATTAGAAAAGAATTTTAGCAGGTGCCTGGGTGGCTCAGTTGGTTAAGCCTCTGCCTTCGGCTCAGGTCATGATCCCAGGGTCCTGGGATGGAGTCCTGCATCAGTCTCTGTTCAGCAGGGGGCCTGCTTCTCTCTCTCTCTCTCTCTCTCTCTCTCTCTCTCTCTTTGCCT